TACATACATACATACATACATACTTACCTAATTTAGTAATGTTTACAACCAGTCATAAACTTTATATATGTGAAAAACCAACAAAATGAGCCAAAGTACGGGAGTTTCCAAAAGAATATTATTATTATTAATTATTAATATTTATATTTATTATTATTACTTTATTTAACATTAATATTATTATTAATTTTATTGTTTTTATATACAATTCATTCCATGAAATATGCAAGTGCATCTCGTATTTATCGTTCACTTTGGTATGGATTGGTGCCATACATACATACACACATACATACATGCGTACATACATACATACATACATACATACATGCGTACATACATACATGCATACATACATACATACATACATACATACATACATACATACATACATACATACATACATACATACATACATACATACATACATACATACATACATACATACATACATACATACATACATACATGCATACATACATACATACATACATACATACATACATACATGCATACATACATACATACATACATACATACATACATACATACAAACCTGCGTGACTTCAAGAAGAAACTGAAAACTCATTTATTTTCATTGTGATGCATTATTGATCGATTCTTTCTGTTTAGTCGACATGTTCTAAATATTATTTCGTATTTTCGTTTTATTGAATCGATTACTTTTCTGTTTTTGACCAAATTTTAATCTTATTTCTGTGCGATGTATTATGATTTCTCGTTTGTTATTTCAATTATGTTGTTAAGTTCAGTTTTTGTTAGATAGCGCTTTTGAGATTCCTTTAATTAGCGCTTCATAAATGTTTCAATAATAATAATAATAATAATACATACATACATACATACATACACTCCTTTCTATGTAATATACACACGACACGCATGCATACGCACAAATGCATGTATAACATTCAAGACACATGACTTAGACAGGCATACACACACTTTAACTTGACCTTAATACACACTAATTTTTATGCGAAAAAACACAGATATTCGTGTATAATACACACGCCACAGGACACGAATACACGCCACACACTCCACAGGACGTTTCGTGTACATCAAGATATGTTTGGCGAATAATTTCTCTAATTTAAATTACATTTTCGCCAGCTAGGGACTGTATTTTAAAATATATATGCGTGTGTGTGTGTGTGTGTGTGTTGGTGTGTGTGTGTGTGTTGGTGTGTGTGTGTGTTGATATTTTTGAAGAATGAATAATTTTTTTT